TTGGGCAAGCTGCAATTAAAAAAAAAAATTCCAAACCTAAAACTAACCAAACAAAAAAACCCTCAAAAACTTTAGATAGTGTAAAACAATGTCCAGCTCCATTATCTGAAAGCCTGTGTTGATGGAGCAGGAGAGCAGTATCTCTTCACAGCCCTGCGCTTGTGAAGGCTTTTGCTGTCTAAACTCCACCTTGGAGACTCAGTACCTGCAGTCAGGAATGTTTTCTATTTTCCTGTGAACATTTTTGACAAAAATCCCAAAACTTTCCCTTCAACAATTTGTGAAGAGGTTTCACTAGGAAGGAACTATTTTTCCACTAAAAAGTTACTTTTGTTAAGCACTTTACTATCTTCAGGGATTTCACCCACATTTTAAGAACTGAAACCCAAAATATTTTAAAACATAGATCAAATGAAAAGTGTTTGGTTTTGCTAAAAATTTTTGAATTGCCAAAAGGAAACTGTCTTTTGTGTATAAAAAAGCATATAAACACTGGGTGAAAAAAAACAAACCTGGACATTCCCATGAAAGTTTTGGTTTTGATGAAAATATCTTCATCTACTAGAAAACTTTCTCACTGGTAGAAAATCCCTGGAAAGTATGTCAGCATGGTGCACACGCTCATCAGGACACACAACTTTATTGTTTCCTGGGGTAGGCTGGGGCTCTGTCCTCTGAAACAGCCACACAGCAATCATCATAGAATCACAGAATGGTTTGGCTGGAAGAGATCTTAAAGATCACCTAGTTCCAACCCCCTGCCATGGGCAGGGACACCTTCCACCAGACCAGGTTGCTCAAAGCCCCATCCAATCTGGCATTGAATGCTTCCAGGGATGAGGCATCCACAACTTCTCTGGGCAACATCTTCCAGTGCCTCACCACCCTCACAATGAAGAATTTTTTCCTTTTATCTGATCTAAATCTACCCCCTTTCAGGGTGGATTTTCATTGCCCCTTGTCCTATCACTAAATGTCCTTGTAAAAAGTTCCTCCCCAGCTTTCTTGTAGGCCCCTTTAGGTATTGGAAGGCTGCTCTAAGGTCTCCCCAGAGCCTTCTCTTCTCCAGGCTGAACAACCCCAACTCTCTCAGCCTGTCTTCACAGGAGAGGTGCTCCAGTCCTCTGATCATCTTTGGGGCCCTCCTCTGGACTCACTTTAATCTTTGAAGGTCTCTGAGAAGAGATTGCCTGGAAGTCCTAACCCACAAAAAGCGAGGGTCACTTTTCACAGGAGAGAGAGTAAGAAGGTAAAATTACACAGCAGGGAAAAGTAATCTTATATTGAAAAACTGGGCAACAAATCAGGCGAATATTTTGATAACTTGCAGGAAAGACTGTCATAACCTTATGGAATTAGAAATGCTTTGGGAGAGAGAACACACTTCTTCTAAAGTGTCTGATATTATGCTTCTCCTGCCCTGTCTGACAACTCAGTGAATTATGCTTTCTTTGCAGATTCATTAATGGTTTGAGCCAAGATGTCAACCTCACTATTGACAGCAAATGGTTCATTGCTGTTCAGAAAAACTACAGTGCTTCTGAGTACTCGCTGCTAGAGAGGGACGAGTAAGTTTCCCTTCCTGTGCTGAAGGTTCTTGCTGAGGTCTTTCCTTGGATGCAATGGGGCTTTTCTTGAGCAAGTAGCAGAACCTTCATTACTATTGTCTTAGCATTTAGTTGTGGGGGCAGATGTTTGTAAAAAAGCAGAATTATCAGCTCTGCACAGAGCAAATGCTCCAGGCCACTCGTGTGTGTGCACAGAAGCTTTTATTCACACTATGTGGAGGCCTGGAGAGAAGAGACTGGCCATTCCTGTGCATCTGTCAGCAGAGTAAGGTGGGACATGATGAAGCCCTCTCTGCCATTTGATGCCTGCTCTATTTTGATATCCTCTCAGGCCCAAGCTGTTAGTGTTAAGGTACTCTCAGGGAAAGGCCAATTCATATTTCACACTACAAAGTGTTGGTATGTGGACTGGCAACATCAAGTAACATTACATGGCTTTGCAGGGTGGGCTTGTTAGAACGGGGCTCCATATGGCCTTGGTTTGGCAGCACTGGAGTTGGATCTTGTATGGTATTTCTGGCATTTGCAATGTTTCGAAACAAGCTTCATGGCTTTTCTCTGCATCAGCTTCATCCAAAATATTTATTGCTGCAATTTAGTCGGATGCAGCAGCCATTGTGGCAATGCTGCTGAGCCTCTGTGCCATCTCACATATCCAAAATCAGAAGAACAAATATGAAGGCTGATTTGCTCTACTGAAAGCAAACAAAGTGGCTTGTGACTGTATGTCTCTGATTTCCTGAAGGCTGTTAAGCCTGCCTAAACTGTCTGGTCTGCCATTCCTGAAGGAGTGGAGAAGAGTTTGGAAGGGAAATAAACCTGAGGAGTAAAAAAAAAAAAAAGAATCAATGCTAGGAAGAAGCAGAAACCATTAAAAAATGTTAGCAGTAGCCCAGGTCATTAGGTGAACTCCAGTCAGTGCCTCAGTGTTTCTGGAAGGAAAAGATGGCAAGGACTCTAGTGATTGTCTGACATAAACATTACCGCAGCTTTACATCATATGTTCTCCCTGCTCCATTGTAGGGGCATATTTGACAGCTCTGCTCTGTACTCTTTGTCTGTGGGACTAACTGGGAAATACTGTACTTCATCATTTTGTCTAGGTATAATAATGGAAAATGCATAACTGAAATGGGAGAGTTCACCCTGGAGCTAGGGCTGCTCGACTTTGGCGCTTCATACACGGTTGTGATCACTAATGTAAGTGTCCCTGTGATGGTAGCAAGCTCCTTCTGTTCTAGTCTCTGGCAGTGCTTTTGTTCTTATGTTGGTGACTCTCGCTTGCTTTCTTCACCCTGTGAGACCTGGGCAGTAGCCATCTGAAGGTAGTCTGTTATACAGGATTAGTAAAAGGTTTTGGCACCTACATAAGCAAGGTGGGTGGGTATTCATTTCACCTTACACTGTGATCTTGTCAGATCTCATGGACTAAACAAGAAGTAATATCTTTTCCTTGATGGAAATCCTCCATGGAAAATCATGTGATCTATGATTTCTGCTGGTCTCATGCCATCCTTGTTCAGTTAACATCGACCCAGCACACTGCAAAGAGCTATTACAGTCTGCCGAGAGCTGACTCTACTTGTGGTCTTTAAAATACTGTACCTGGTGGTACCTCACACCTGAAAAACTCTGCAGAAACAGTCTGCTGGATCCTCACGTTTAACTTAGATGAGCAGCCTTTAAATCATTAAGACTTGTGGACTATGCGTGGGGGGAAGAGGGACAAAGCGTTGAGGGAGGAGGTTGGTGAGACTGCACATCTGTTTTTCTTCCTCTCACTGCCTGTACAGCTCATTTGGAGCCTAGTGTAAAGTCAAGGCATGGTTTTCTGAACAACTTAGCTCTGATGGGGTATGAGCACTGCTGAGAGGTGGATTCCTTTCTCTGCCTGCCAGCCTCTTAGGCACGCTGCTCCAACCCTAGTCCAGCTGGCAGGAGCCACAGAGATGAATGTTGATCAGCTTAGTTCCCATTTTAACCTTTCCACTGCACAGGCACAGAGACAAACCAGGTCTGACAGGACACACTGCTAAGCTGCCCTCTGAGACTTTGACTACTGTGTTGCGATGAGCAGAACAAAGTACTGTCAGCTACTCCCTGGCAGTAACATCTCCCGGTTGGGCAATTAATGGGAGCTGTTCATGTCTGCAGAGTCCAAATACGTTGGGGGAAAAATATAGCTGCAAAGCACCTGGCACTTTTTTAAACTCCACTAGCTGGAGTGGGATGCACAGTCTTGGATGGAACAGGCAGATGCTGCCATCTGTGAGTGCAGAGATTTATGTACATAAAACACACACTTGAAGTGATGTTGGCCAGACCCTTCCTCCATGGCTGCAAGCCTCTCCCACCAGGTGAGAAACCAAGTAGAGAAGTTGCAGGAAGAACATTACACTAAGAATATTGCCCCAGACCCTCTGGTAATGCAACTGAGTCGGGGCCAGTTGAGACAGATGTGTCCCATGTCGCTGTGGGCAAGGATTCCAGTTTGTGGTCCCATCTACAACAGTCCCTGCTGTAACCATGGCTGCTCAGGGGTGGCTCTGTACCTCGGCCCCTCAGCCCTTTTGGACCCTGTGCTAGTCCTTTAATCTTTTTGACTCTCTGTTTTTCCATCTCTCTCCCTGTGGTTTCCTCCTTCAGTAGAGAGTTAGTTTGCTCCAGGCCAAGATCATTTTTAATTGTTGCAGTGATTTGTACTGAGCCCTACTCCTCTGCCAGGAGTGTTATATGGAAGAACCAAGAATGCGATATATTAGTCTGCTAATGTGGCTGAACTGTGATGCTTAAATCATGGGGATGTTGCCTTCCACCCAGCCTTCCTTAGTGTGCAGTTACAGTATGGTGCTTATGACACTTCTTTATGGGCTAAAGAGCAACGCGCAACTCTCGTCTCACCCCTTTTAGCCTGCTAAAATACAGTGTCTTGATTTGCCTCCCTGCATGGTGATTAAGTACATCTCATAAACATCCCTTGTATTTTCCCAAGTACTCTCCTTAAACGTGGGGTTTTCTGCCTGAAGTAATTTCAGCCTAATGTTTTCCTGGCTACTAGTCAAATCTCCCTCTGCTTCTGAGCCTCTGTGCATCAGAAGCAATATTAATTACACCTGGGAAAGCAAACAAAAAGAATTAGGAATACAGCTACCCTAACTATCTGAATACATCTGATACGAGGCAGTCTCTGCGACTCTTGGTAGTCTTGAACTGGATTTGTTTGGGTGTCACTGTTATTGTAGGGGAGTTGTACAGTGCTGATGAAGTGGGAGCAGTGACCAAATGGATGCAATGAGCATTTATCCTCTCGTCCTCTTCTGGCCTTGGGGACAGCAGCAGGTCACAGGCTCTGCAGGAGTAGCACACAAGCTTTTCCCAGCCCCACTACAGAAGGCAACTTGTTGGTTTGCAATAACTTAGGCAACGCTTGTGGCACATGAATGAGTTGGAATGTGTCCATCCTGCCACCTCTGCCCCGTGCAGTGGGTATCAGCCCATACAGGCTTGGAAATGGCAGGGGTCAGACCCATAGTTTTGTTTCCAGGGCGGATCTTTGCTTCCACCTTTGCTTAAAACTTTGTGTTGGTAAATTCACTGTTGCTGTCCACGCTAATAAGGATCTGATCTTTCAGCAGCTAATCACTGTGCCTTTATTTTCCTGCTAGGTTTCTGGAGGTGCTGTTAAGACATGGAAGTCAGAAGACATCAAAGCCAACAACGTCCATATGGCTTGGCAGTTACCACAATACTTATTAATATCAGCTGGGGAGGTGATGTTCTCCATTACGGGTCTGGCCTTCTCCTATTCTCAGGTACTCAAAGATAAGGGGCTTACAATTAGACTTCAGGATTTATTCCTGCATCTGCCATTGACTTGTAATATGTCCTTTGGCATGACACTTACCATCAATGTTATCTGTGCTTCAGCTAAAAGTGGGATTATAACACAACTTGCTGGGTGCCCTCAAGATAAATTAATTCATACTCTGAAGATACCTTTCTCAATTATGTGCAGGAAACTCCTTTTCTGGTAAAGCTGAAACACAGAACAGAACTGGATAGAAGTTTATTTTAATGTGAAAGTGCTGAGTACTGTAATAGCAGGTTTTTCTCCCAGTGAAATATTTTGCAGTACATATTTCCAGTGACAATATTTTCCAGTGACAAAAAGGCAAAGGTGTCTCAAGGATTACAAGGTGGCATAGGGGCTTGGAACCTGCTTTAAACTGAGAGAATGAAGGAGTCTAAGCCTACATGAGTCTGTAACAAGGGAGCAAAGGGTAATGAGTGTGCAAGGGATGATTTGATTCTTGTCTGGGGAGAAGGTTTATAAGAAGAGAAGACTGAGACATTACAAGATCAAAAAGCTGAAGCTACTCAAATTTATCCTTGGAGTACAGTGCAGATGTTTATTAACAAGGGCAATTAATACAGTGAGACTCTCTGTAATGGGATGTGGAAAACTTGTCATCAGCAGGCAGTTTAA